TGAGTTTTGCGTGGCTGATGGGTGTTGCCTTAATGCAAATGAATGCATTTTTATTCCGGAAAATACATGTCTGCAGTGGGTTTTGTTGTTGATACTATATTGTTCATGAATATTAATTAGGATGACGTAGGGCAGCCTAGCGGATCCTCTCTACCGCTTACCGTGATGACCAAGGGAGATTGAACATAGTTCAACTCCCAAAAATGACTTCAAATCGTACAAAATTTAAATGTAACGTCAGGCGGATCGATACGTTTTTGACGCAAGTCGTTGTGACGTAGGCAACCCAATTTATACGATATAAAGTAATTTTTTATCCAATCAAATAACCAGAATTAAATTATTACTGTATACAATATCATTGATTTAAAGTTTTTATTATAATATTGGTATAACAAAAAGTTGTTGACAGTAGTCTCGGGCAACAGTTGATTTGTCGGATCGGTGTGCAAACTGTTGCAGTTTACAACACCGGTCCGACAGATCAGCTGTTGCCCTCGGACCCAGTCAATAATTGTGTACTACACATACAATACATGGCCGTAGGAACCGGGGGGGGGGGGGGGGGTGTGCCCCCGCAAAAATTTGGTATACAGATTACTATATATACAGAAAACATAGCTGCTACATCCATATGCTTGTGCCCCCTCAATAAAAACGTCTGATGACCTTTTTTTTTTGTCAAGAAATTTTTGGTAGTTGAGAGTGCCCCCCTTAACTGAAAATGTATGGTTGTGCCCCCCTCCCCCTACTCTACTGTACGGTTACGTTTTGTCCCCTCAATAATGTCTGACGGCAATGTTTTGCCTGTCAAGATTTTTTTAAGTTGTCCCCCTTCTAACTAAAATTGCTTCATATATAGATTGAAAAGTATTTTTACCATGTAAAATTAACAAAGTCATATTGGTTATCTTATTTGAATTGATCAGTACCCTGAGCTGACACCACCACCCCCCACCCCCCGCCTTGCGGTTCAAACAACAGAAGCTCTCTTTGTTTTGCCAAATAAGTAAAATTTCATGAAAGTTCATTTCATTTGTTTCTAAACATTAAAAGAACATCATTCAAATACGATGAACGAAAATCGACCAGGAGTTAGGCGGTGAAACATTATTATCGTTTGCAGTTCTTTTTCTTGCTTCGATCACGTTGGCCCCACCCTGAACTGAAACTCGTGTTACAATTTTTTTAAAAACATTTTAAAAACAGTTTAGGCAGGACTATATTAACACTGTCAGCTTATCTCCTTCAAGTCATAATATATTTCAATAAATGATTTACCTAGCCATAACGATTTGATCTACCTAACCCTAATAAAAATAAACTAAAATATTTGGCCAACATAGCCAGGACCTTGGAATCTACCTCTTCTCAATTCCAAGCCTGCTAATCTAAAATAAACTTAACGATCTACAATCGATTTTCTTTGCAGCATTTACTTTATTCCGGCAATAATTATTTTTCTAATTTTCTTTTCCTCTTAAAAAAATAATATTTAAGTCTACTCATCTTAACGGTTTCATGTACATACAGGATAACATAGTTACCCTTCAAATAAATAGTAAACTACTTTGAGATAAAAGAGTATTTTTTGAAGTTCCAGTGCGTGGAAAGACTTGATTTCGCTCTAGGTGAAATAGCATCAATATTCAATTATTTTGAAATTTTGATAAATCAGTAAAAAAAAAAAAGCACACAATCAATTTGATTGATAGTTAAACTAATAAATTAATGTTTCATGTGCGAATTGAACCAAAAACTTTTAATCTCTTAAAATGTCAGTCAGCATTTGACTTAGCGATATGCTGTATTTGCTGACAAGGTCATTGTATAGACCATAAACTTGCGAAATAATGACTTTACTCTTGATAAATAGAAATAAATCATTGCACATAAATATGTCAGCACATATAAAAATGTTAATGTCTATGCACGATTCTTCCTGGACCAAGTAACATTGAATTACCATTTACATATTTTCACTTCTAAATAGTGGCAAGTCATAGATACTGGCTCGGTTGTTCATCATTTCCTTTCTATACTAAATTGACTACGGAATCTTCTGTTTACCTGATCAATACATTGGGCTCACAGCGGTTGTAACTGGTCAACAGTGAATGCTTACTCCTCTTAAGCACCTGATCCCATCTCTGGTATTTCCAGGGGGTCCGTGTTTTATGGTATGCTCACAATTTTCTATTGTTTGTATTCTTTTTTTTTTTTTTTTTTTTAGATCGATCACTTTTCGTTGTCTTCACCTTGTTATTTCTAGCATATAAAAATGGTCCTGATTTTAATTGGCAATGTCTGCTGACATGTGATTAAACATATAATTTTCTTTATACAAAATACAGAAAGATTCTTACATAGAGGGTTCAAAAGAAAACAGGCTTTATTTATTGCTACCATTGATAATTAGAAATGTTAAATAATTTAATTCTCTATGACAAAATAGCCCCAAAAGGTGTGGTATTTTATCTTCCATTTAACATATAAAATATACTGTTATGTAAACTTCGGTAACTCGACATCGACGGATCTTTCGGAAAATGTCGAGATTTTCAGGGTGTCGAGATATCCGAGTTGAGTCTCGACATCCAAGATTCCACTGCATAGCAAAACAGAGACAAGTTTATTATATATATGACTCCAACAGTAGCTCGTTTTATTTCAACAATCTCTCTATTTTCATATTACAAATTCTAAGGATTTATTTTTTTAAATATCTTATTGATAAAATGAGTTCTTTCTTCACATTTTGAATCTTTCTAAATTTACCGATTTTTTCCGACCAGCATATCGCTTGAACGTTTGTCAGAGCGGGATATTGCGCTGTAAAGACTTTGAACAGTACAAATTCGGCAGCTGAAATACAAGAAAAGATAATAAATGCATATTTCTTTTTTTTTCGAAAAAAAAATTTAAAAAATTAAAGAACAAAATTTTAAAAGAATTATTTAAACTACTACAGTGATATTACATATGCATGATTCACGTCTGATACAGTTTCAAAATCGTTTCATTGATTGAATTATTACCTGTTGAACGCATTTTAGAAAGTAAATGTATCGTAAAAATTGTTTAATTTTTTAGGTTGAATTAAATCCTATGTGTTTGTTTTTCAATGCAATTCAGTTACTTTTTTCAAATTAAAGTTATGATAGTTTCCGATATTAATAAACGTCGGCACAAGTTATGATAGTTTTCGATATAAATAAACGTCGACACATTTACTCAGTATCAAGTGGATTTGTCAATGATATATTATCCAACTTGAATATTAAGCAAATAACAACTGATAAACGGCCGTGTGCGCTTGGGATTCTTAAACAAACTAAGTCAAGCAGTCTAGAGTTAATATATTGGTGTGAATTTCTTACGATGTCGAGATACACGGAGTCGTCTATTCTTGACCAGAGACAATTTGACAAAACAGGTTTTGTTGAGTAGAAATTGGCCCGATGTTTACATACAGCAGCTAAATTTCGCTCTTGGGACTGCATGTGAGTATACGTCGAGGTACGCTGGAGAGTCGACATATCCGAGTTTTTGCACTTCTTTCGTGTAGTAAATACTGCAGTGACCATGTACGGACGTCGACATATCCAAGGTTGTCTACATTTGCGATGTCTAGATACTGAAGTTTACCTGTATATACGAGTAAAATTAAACAAAAAACTTAATATTTACTACAAGCTCATGGTAATTCATAAAAAATAATGTTTTCAACATAAAAATCAACATAGTTATTAGGTAGAATATTCTGTAATATTCTACATGGTAACCATAGAACCCTTTGTTGATTTGAAATAGACTTTGAAAACATCTTGAACACAAATATATTCCATTTTAGGAATCACTGTATAGTTTTTTTGCGTATGCCAGGGCATCAACGATAGTTGGAAACGTGGGATATTTTGCGTGACAGGCAAAGTTCGTTATGCACAAATTATCCCACGTTTCCAACTATCGTCCAAACACAACCGCTCCAAACACAGCTGCTCGAGTTTGACATGCATATAAGGCTCCTGACCTTTCACCTGGCAAAATTTACATTCCGGTTGAATTATCAAGAAATCAACTCACCTAACTTTTAAAGAGTTATGAGAGAGAGAGAGAAAATAGAAATGTAAATAAATGGAGATAACACTGTCCACTTAAATTATGAATTTAACAACACTGTTTATTTTGTGTTAAAATAATTGTAAGTACATGTATATTGTGTACACTTTTCATAAAACTATATGTTTTTGAAATAAAAAGGTAAAAAAGGTCCATTCTCTCTTTTCATAGAAAATCTATCTATTAACATATTCTTACTGTAATTAGTTATTGCACAAATAGCACCGTTACATTGCATTATACAAAATGTGCAGATAAAAAAAAAACTTTGTTAAAAAAGTTTTCAGAAAAAAATCCACTTTCACCTTGAAAAAAATACAAATAGTTTAACGTAGTTTTTGTACGTAGTTATCTCCCTGAACTTTTGGTCATGCTTGGTACTTGGGTTGGTATTTTATGTCCAGTGAATATAACTTGTCTGAATTCATTGTAATCAATGGCTCCAAAATCAAACCATCCAATGTTCTGTATCTATGATTAAGATCTTGAGAAATCTCAGGTCAAAAATATTGAGATCTTACTTACAACATTATTGCTATAATTTTTTTGTAATTTCAAGAAAGTTCAAAGTTACACACGTCAGTATTGAAGGATCCCATCAAATATATTATGAGCCATATAATATATACATTTTGCATTTGTGTTCTTTGGCTTCAATATTGTTTAAATTTCTTGCATATCTAAAATAAGTGACTGTAACATCTCTTTTTCTAACTTTCCATACTCTGTTTTAGCGTTTTGTATAATACTGTTTTCATCTTTAAGGTCAGCTTTTCAATGTACAAAATATCATCAAAATAATTCTTTCAAGTGAATATTTCTAATCTTTGGCAGATATCAAACACTTGCAAAATCATAAAAAATGTATTCATTGAGTTCAAAAATATTTTAAATTTATACACATTTAAATAACATTCTATGAGTAATATTCATAATTCGAAGCATGCTTGGCCTCAGGCTGCAATACTGCTGCTTTAATGTCTTTCATGTCTGACCACATTTCTTTCACCATTTCATGCTGACTTTCCATTTTAACCTTTTCAATAATATCATCTTCATCTTCTTCTTTTAGAGTCAGTTTTTGAATGTAATTAAGTTTATCCAAGTATTTCTTTCCAGTGAAGGTTTCAAGTCTTTGGCAGATATCCGACATCATTGACCAGGTGTCATCGAATTCTGTCTGAGGGGTGGAAGCTGAGCTCACATGTGCAGATAAATTGTTTCGAATTGACCTAATTCTCTCGATATCATCACCCACGGTCACTTCTCCTGCAGCAGGCTTTTCTCCCCATTTTGGTTTTGTTGGTTTAGGAATCGTTGAACAAATGTTTCTGATCAATGTATATGTTAATGAAATATCAAAATTCTTATATCCTGATTGTTGAGCAATTTGTAAGAGATGTTCTTGCTCGGGGCGTAATCTTTTATAAATTGATGATGCTTTCACCTTGTTGTAAATTAGGGAAGGGGGAAACTCCATCTCTAGTATGTCTCTGTAAGCCTGATTTAAAACATCGTTTGTTGCCATTCCGAGTTTGGCAAATCTAGATCGGCCACCGAGGTCTTGTCCGGAAGCCACTGCAGTGCTTGAAGCTTTCGCTTTTGGCTGAAAAAAAAATCAACTTCATTCAGTTAATTTGCTCAAAACAATTTAGTAGGAACAATAGACAAGAGGCCCATGGACCACATCGCTCACCTGAGCACAATGGCTAGGAAAAAGCACAAAACAATTCAGTATTGAAAAGTTTACATGGGACTGGGGGGGAGGGGGGGGGACTCGAATTTTAAACTACCTGCGGATGTTTCCATATCAGTATAAAATGGCTTTGCTGTTCTTCAGCAAAAGATTTTTAAAGATTTTATCCTATATATTCCTTTGTAAAAATTCAATACCCAATTGTGGCCCCTCCCTACCCACAGGGTTAATCATTTGAACAAACTTTAATCTACACTACCTGAGGATGCTTCCATATCAATCTGACAAATCATACCTTTGCTGTTCTTGAGAAGATTTTTTCCTTTATATTCCTATGTAAACTTTGATCCCCCATATTGATGACACCCTACCCCCCCGGGGGGGGGGGGGGGGGGCATGAATTGAACAAACTTGAATCTACAATACCTGAGAATGCTTCCATATCAATATGACTAAATATGGCTTTGTTGTTCTTGAGAAGAAGATTTTTAAAGTTTTTTCCTATATATTCCTACGTAAAACTTTGATCCCCATTTATGGCCCCACCCTACCCCAGGGGTCATGATTTGAGCTAATTTGAATGTATACTACCTGAGAATGCTTACATATCAACATGACTAAATAAGACTTTGTTGTTTTGAGAAGAAGATTTTAAAATTTTTTTCCTATATATTCCTATGAAAAACTTTGATCCCCCATTGTGACCCCACCCTACCCCGGGGGTCATGATTTAAACAAATTTGAATCTACACTACCTGACAATGCTTCCATATCAATATAACTAAACAAGGCTTTGCTGTTCTTGAGAAAAGGATTTTTAAAGTTTTTTCCTATATATTCCTATGTAAAACTTTGATTCCCCATTCTCACCCCACCCTTCCCCCAGAGGTCATGATTTGAACAAACTTGAATCTACAATACCTAAGGATGCTTCCATGTCAATATGACAAATCATGGCTTTGTTCTTGAGAAGAAGGTTTTTAAAGATTTTTTCCTATATATTTCTATGTAAAACTTTGATCCCCCATTGTGACACTACCCTTCCCCTGGGGGCCATGATTTGAACAAACTTGAATCTACACTATATAACAAAGGTTTCCTATAAGTTTCAACTTTTTTGGGCCAGTGGTTCTTGAGAAGAAGTTTTTTTTTTAAATATGCCACCAAATTTTCACTATTTCTGAATTATCTCCCCTTGAATGAGGGCATGGCCCTTCATTTGAACAAACTTTAATCCCCTTCACCCAAGGATGCTTTGTGGCAAGTTTGGTTGAAATTGGCCCAGTGGTTCTGGAGAAGAAGTCGAAAATGTGAAAAGTTTACAGACGGACAGACGGACTACAGACAAAATGTGATCAGAAAAGCTCACTTGAGCTTTCAGCTCAGGTGAGCTAAAAACTGAACAGTCATTAAGGGCTTCGCAGAAGGAAAGAAATCGAGAGGTATAGCTTAAAAGAATAGAAAAATGACTTAACGGAAAAAAATAAAAGGAAATTTAAAAATATATGACGAATATGAAATATCAGCTGTATTTCTAAGATTTGGAAATAGTTTGTAAATGACAAATGAGCTTATTCAACTACCTGTTAGGAATTAATACCATTCTTGTATTTATTATGGGGGTAAAAAAATATTTAAATTGTCACCATCCCCCTCCAAAAAAAAGGAACTCTTTTGTATTATAGACATGTTAATCATATGGATTTTATCATGTTCATACTAAGGGTCATTTTACCTTGTTGAAATCTTATAAAACTGTATTTCACTGGAAATAAAATAAAATGCACCACTAGAGTTCATGATACTTTAAACTAAACTATTCTCACAGGATGTAACACTGTCTATTGCAAGGACTTAAAAATAAAGTATACATAGATACTAAAGATACATGAACAAGAGATGTTTCTGAAACACTCCCCCCCCCCCCCCCCCCCCCCCCCCCCCCCGAAATAATTGGAAATTTTCTAAGTCCAAGGGGCATAACTCTGTCAAAAAATTGCTCGTACCCAAAACAAAACTTGACCTAGATATTCTTATGATAAATCTGTATTACAAATTTCAATTGACTATGTGAAACTTCTGCTAAGAAAATGAACAGAAACTACAAATAATTGGAATTTTTTTAAGTCCGAGGGGCATAACTCTGTCAAAAATTGCTTGATCGTATCCAAAAAAGAACTTGACCTTGATATTCTTATGACAAATCTGTATAAAAAAAATCATTTCAGTATGTGCAACCTCTGCAAAGAAAATGAACGGAAACTGTTGGTGGACCGACAGACCGACCGACAGACAGCAGCAAAGCAATATGCCCTCCCTTCTTCGAAGGAGGGCACAAATATCAAAATGAGGTATATAAATTAAACAATAATCTAAAATGACTCCATCTAACAATCTAATGCAGCATCTGAAAGTTTAAATTTCCTTAACCCATAAGTAAATGTTGTGTTTGACTGAAATTAGGCCAGTTGGGCTCGTAAACGTAAAACAAGCAAACAGATTGTCAAAACAAACAAGAGGCCCATGGGCCACATCACTCACCTGAGCACATTGGCTAGGCAAAAGCACAAATCAGTTCAGTATTGAAAAGACCGAGGGGGGGGGGGGGGGGCTTGAATTTTAAACTACCTGATGATGCTTCCATGTCAATATAACAAATGGCTTTGTTGTACTTGAGAAGATTTAAAAAAAAAATTCCCATATATTCCTTTGTAAAAATTTGATCCCCCATTGTGGCCTCACCCTACCCCCGGGGTCATGATTTGAACAAACTTGAATCTACACTACCTGAGGATGCTTCCATATCAATATGACTAAACATAGCTTTTCTGTTCTTGAAAAGAAATATTTTTTCTATATGTTCTTATGTAAAACTTTCCATCCCCCATTGGGCCCCACCCTACCCCTGGGGGTCATCATTTGAACAAAATTGAATCTTCACTACCTGAGGATGCTTCCATATAAAAATGACTAATCATGGCTTTGCTGTTCTTCAGAAGAACATATTTTCCTTTATATTTCTATGTAAAACTTTGATCCTCCATTGTGGCCCTGCCCTACCCCCGGGGGTCATGGTTTGAAAAAACTTGAATCTACACTACCTGAGGATGCTTCCATATAAATATGACTCATCATGGCTTTGCTGTTCTTGAGAAGAAGATTTTTAAAGATTTTTCCTATATATTTCTATGTAAAACTTTGATCCTCCATTGCAGCCCCGCCCTACCCCCAGGGGTCATGGTTTGAACAAATCTGAATCTACACTACCTGAGGATGCTTCCATATAAATACGACTCATCATGGCTTTGCTGTTCTTGAGAAGAAGATTTTTAAAGATTTTTCCTATATATTTCTATGTAAAACTTTGATCCTCCATTGTGGCCCCGCCCCACCCCCAGGGGTCATGATTTGAACAAATCTGAATCTACACTACCTGAGGATGCTTCCATATAAATATGACTCATCATGGCTTTGCTGTTCTTGAGAAGAAGATTTTTAAAGATTTTTCCTATATATTTCTATGTAAAACTTTGATCCTCCATTGTGGCCCCGCCCCACCCCCGGGGGTCATGATTTGAACAAATCTGAATCTACACTACCTGAGGATGCTTCCAAATAAAAATGACTCATCATGGCTTTGCTGTTCTTGAGAAGAAGATTTTTCCTATATATTTCTATGTAAAACTTTGATCCTCCATTGTGGCCCTGCCCTACCCCCGGGGATCATGATTTGAACAAACTTGAATCTACACTACCTGAGGATGCTTCCATATAAATATGACTCATCATGGCTTTGCTGTTCTTGAGAAGAAGATTTTTAAAGATTTTTCCTATATATTTCTATGTAAAACTTTGATCCTCCATTGTGGCCCCGCCCTACCCCGGGGGGTCATGATTTGAACAAACTTGAATGTACACTACCTAAGGATGCTTCCACATGAGTTTCATCTTTCCTGGCCATATGTTTCTTGAGAAGAAGATTTTTAAATGATGCCATTATTTTTTCAGTAATTCCTAATTATCTCCCCTTGAAAGAGGGCGTGGCCCTTCATTTGAACAAACTTGAATCCCCTTTACCCAAGGATACTTTGTGGCAAGTTTGGTTGAAATTGGCCCAGTGGTTCTTGAGAAGAAGTCGAAAATGTGAAAAGTTTACAGACAGACAGACAGACGGACAGACAGACAGACGGACGCCGGACAAAATGTGATCAGAAAAGCTCACTTGAGCTTTCAGCTCAGGTGAGCTAAAAACATAAAGATTTTGATCCAGAACATCACTTCAGCAACTAAAAAAGAAAAAAAAACTGTAGTTTTCATTTAAATGTACATACATATACTCTTTAGGATCATAAATCATGCATAATTACAATGATTTAAATAACATACCTCTACCCAATACTTTGTGATATCATTTGTCTTAATGATGTGCTTTCTTTCTATTGGACAGGAAGGACACTGAAAAGATGGTTGCGTAAATTCTGCTTCATCGATTACAGAACTTTCTTGGTCATCACAAAATCCCACAGCTTTGCATTTGAATCCAAACATGAATTTAAAATCTGTTTGGAATGTTGTGGATAGAACACTTAGTTTACTATCAATTGTTTTCTTTACTTCGTAGCATGTTGATATATTAACTTCTCCTTCGATAACAGACACTTGTAGCTGAATTTCTTTAGGAGTCATTCCAAGTAGAACGTTATGTTCCTGAAACGCGAAAATAGCTGCTGTCTGGTAAATGCATGGTCTGTCTCTCTCTGTCACAACCTTCCAAGGAATATGCATGCATGTAGCTATGAGGCGATGGAAAACTCCAGCAGGGAGAACATCAAACGTGTAGCAGAGGATGGATGAGGCATGGTATGGTGAGTATTTTACAGGATATGCTCTTTTGTTCATACAGGGAACATACCACTTATTGTCACTCATTTTAGCTAAGAGTCCTAATTTCTCCATGTACAAAATGATGTCGTTTTTGTGTTCAATGTAACCATTGTTGTTCATTTCCCATATAGCAGACAACAGAGTGTCAGGTAACTCTCCAGTTTCATTGAATTTGTCCCACTCTGCAGTATACTCAAGTAAATCTTCCTCTGCATGGTTTTTATCTGTTATGACATTTTTGAATGCATCAGCAAACCACTGAACATCAAGAATAATTAGTTCTTGGAGGAATTCTTGTACAAAGTATAAAATTTCTCTGATGTCATGGAAGAACTGCAGCATAACATTGATGTCCTCAATTGTTTGGAGCTTTATTCCCTCTGGCAATGCTTCATTGAAAGCAGTGAGTGTGTCTATCCTTAAAATCTTGAGTTTTTTCTTTTCCTGAAAGAATGTTTCAAACATAGCCCAAGAGCGTGGAAGCTCTTCACCCCAGTGATCAAGTTCACCCACAACATCAAGGATTGACAGCTTGATATTTTCAATGCCTTCGTTGTCATTGAATCCAATTGCAAATCGCCGCTTCACATTGAGATGTTTCTTCAGAGATTTCTTCATTTCTAAAGTTTTCCATACTTCACGGAAAAACAATGCTTTCTCCTGGATAAAGAGATTTGTTAAAGAAATGTATTCTCACTGTATTTACTGGGAGAGATATGCATGATCTAAACAATCCTTTTTTCCTGCACTACCTGGAATTACTTGCACATTAATATAACAGATCATGGCCATTTGATCTTGTAAAGAACATTTTGAAACAATTTTCCCTTTACATTTTAATGTCAAATGTAATAATCTGTTATGATCCTTTTCAATTCTGGGGGCTTATCCTACCAAGGGGGGATGGTTTGAACAAAATGATATTAACACTTTGTCAGGAAGTTTCCACCTAAGTTTCAATTTTTTGTTTCTTGAGAGGAAAATTTTGAAAACTAACTTAGCGAATTTTTAATCAGTGTTCAAAAAATTAATGGTTTAGTGATCTGAAGCAGTGTTTGGATTTTGGTGGTGATTTATAAAGAAAAGAAAACAGGCACTTGGGCCACAACACTCACCTGAATCAATATGGCCCTGTTTTTCATTGGCAGATTTTTTTTCCTTTATATTCCTATGTAAAACTTTGATCCACAATTGTGCCCCCCCCCCCCCCCCTTTGAACAAACTGGAATCTACACTCCCTGAAAATGCTTCCATATCAATATGACTTATCAAGGCTATTCTGTTCTTGAAAAGATTTTTTTCAAATATTTTACCTATATATAGCTTTGTTAAACTTTAATCCCCCATTGTGTCACCACCCTTCCTCAGGGCTCATAATTTGAATAGACTTAAATCTACACTGCTTGAGGAGTATTTATGATTATTAATGACTCTTCTTGACTATTCATTGCTTTGTTGTTCTTGAGAAGTAGATTTTTCTAGATTTTTCCTATGTATTTCTATGTAAAATTTTGATCAACCATTGTGGCCCCACCATACCCCCAGGGGTCATGATTTGAACAAAGTTGATTCTACACGATCTGAAAATGCTACCATTTAAATATGACCAATCATGGCTTTGCTATTCTTGAGAAGATTTTTAAAGACTTTTTCTATGTATTTCCATGTAAAAATTTGATCACCCATTGTGCCCCATTCTAACCCTGTGGGTCATGATTTGAAGAATATTGAATCTACGAGGGGTTATCAAAAAGTTCGTTGACTAGAGCCAGAAAATTAAAAACACTTTAGGTACATAAATGAATTTCAACACAATTAGTTAGCATCATTTTTTCTATCTATAGATAAAACCATAAATCATAAGTTTTATTTTTTGATAAATTGTTAATGGTTTTGTAAGCAATGGATATATCCACGAGGCGCATCCTCAAATATGACGTTCTTTCTACTTGAGTGTAACTGAGAAAAAACTCTTTTGATATGAGCATTTGTCACCAAAAAAAACCCCGTAATTTCAGGCATGTTGTACGACACAATTGTTCCATAAAATTTGCAATTTGTACCCAGTTCTTTAAGTTCTACGAAATTTTATTGTAAATTTTATATGGAGTGTCTGAACAATTAAGGGCTTGAAAATGACATCAAAAAGGGGGAAAGATTTCTTTTTCCAAGCATTCTACAAAGTTTCACCTGGGAAAACTGGTATTGATCTAGGGAATGTTTAAACGGGCTACAGAAAAATAAAATGGTTCCAGAGTACTTGTTTTAAATGCCCAAAAAGATTCAGAAAGATGAAAGATGCATAGCTTATGTCGATTTGTAGTCAGGGTGTCAAAAGTCAGTCACATTGATCATGTGTGGTAGAAATTGAATGCCAACAAGCTAAGTATTCTGGCATAATCAAGTGAGGATCTTTCCTTATGTATAGATCCATTTGCAATATTATATGCATTGAAAGCAGCTGTTCATGGCTTAGTAAAGTCTTATAATCATGACAGGCTTAAGTTTTTACTTAACTCTAGGTTATATCATCAAGATAAGTGTATGAGGTAGAGAGAGCGGACATTGAGAAACAATGTCGTTGTCAGACATCATGAAACAAAACTGTGACAGCGCCGGGTGATCATGTAAGGTCTTTTTTTAATATTTGAATAATTTGGCAAATCATCAACGTATCAAGCTTAAATTTTCAACTTTTCTTTAACTTTTGTTGTTTTATATTCCTTACAAATTTTGTAAGCACAGACTACATATTAATTTTATCGCATCAGTCCACGAACTTTTTGATAACCCCTTGTACATTATCTGAGAATGATTCCACATAAAATTCTTATTTTCTAACCCAGTGGTTCTTGAGAAGAAAATTTTTAAAAGATGCCATTAATTTTTCACTTATTCCTAATTATTTCCCCTTAGATGAAAGTAAGGCCCTTCATTTGAACAAATTTGAATCCCTTTTACCCAAGGATACACTGTTGCAAGTTTAGTTGAAATTGATCCAATTGTTCTTGAGAAGAAGCCGAAAATGTGAAAAGTTTACAGACAGACAGACGGACGCATAGCTAGACAGCAGAGAGCCGGACGCCAGAAAAAATATGATCAGAAAAGCTCACTTTAAAAACAAGAGGCCCAAGGGCCTTAATGGTCACCTGAGTATAATACAACAATTTAGAGGATCCATAGAGTATAAAATGAACTGAAAGGTGAAGCTTTGTTGCCCAAAAGCAAGAAAAATAGGGTGATCAGGATCAACAAAATAATTAATCTAGTATTCATTGACAGTTTATACATTATGTTCTAATCTGTTCCCCATTTATCACTATCACCATACAGTATATTAAAAAACTATCAGTGCCTCTGTACTATTTTAATTTCTTGTCGAAATCTCTTACATTGGCCTCTCTTGGTCTTTGATGAACATTTAATAAGACAGGTTATTTTTGTTCCATTTTTATTTATCTATTACTTACAAGTCTACCTGATCATTAAAACTAGGAAAATACTTTTTGTATTATACAATAAAAATTCTTGCATAATTCTCTTATTCTATTAACCTTTCAAAACATTGTTTACAGTGATTAATTATCAAAAGTAAACAGCAAAGGGGAATAACTCCTCTCAGTAGAATACAAATTAATAGAGCCCTGGCCAGGACCAGAACACTTGACCAAATGGTCCAGATGTTCAAAAATCTGGTGAAAATACCCTTCCTTATTAAAACTTTTAATCTTTTTGCCTCTGATATGCCCAAGTGCAGAGAACATTTTTAAAGAAATAATGCATTTTTACTACAGATTCACTATATTATTAATAGAGCCCCCCCCCCCCCCCCCCCCCCACTGAGAAACACTAGAGTCTCTCACCCTGGGACCAGAAGTTTGCTCATCATAAGTAATCACTTTGTTTATCTGCTTCACACTAAGGAGCAGACAGGATTATTTAATAGAATTAATGCATTTTCACTTTATTATCAAGAGCCCCACCCTTACACTACTCTGGAAGAAGCACTCTTGCTCATCATAACTATATACTTAGCTTCTTTGCTTTTTAACAAGAAGCAGAAAAGAATATTTTCAAAAAAATTTTGCTTTTTCACTATATAATCAATAGAGTCCCCCCCAACCTTTTCACTAGAATCCCTGACCCTGGGGCCATGAATTTCACAATTCTGGTAGAGTCACCCTTGCTTATCATAACTATGTATTCAATTTGTTTCAAAAATACCCAGGAGTAGAGAAGAAGATTTTCAAAGAAATAATGCACTTTCACTATATGATCTGTATAGTCCCGCCCTAGCACCAGAACCCCTACCCCCGGGGTCATGAATTTCACAATTTTGGTAGAGTCACTCTTGCTTATCATAACTATATATTCAATTTGTTCAATAATACCCAGGAGTAGAGAAGAAGATTTTCAAAGAAATGATGCACTTTCACTATATGATATATAGAGCCCCACCCTAGCACCAGCACCCCTGACCCTGGGGCCATGAATTTCACAATTCTGGTAGAGTCACTCTAGCTTATCATAACTATGTATTCAATTTGTTTCAATAACACCCAGGAGTAGAGAAGAAGATTTTCAAAGAAATAATGCACTTTCACTATATGATCTATATAGCCCCGCCCTAGCACCAGAACCCCTGACCCTGGGGCCATGAATTTCACAATTTTGGTAGAGTCACCTTTGCTTATCAAAACTGTGTATTCAATTTGTTTCAATAATACCCAGGAGTAGAGAAGAAGATTTTCAAAGAAATAATGCACTTTCACTATATGATCTATATAGCCCCGCCCTAGCACCAGAACCCCTGACCCTGGGGCCATGAATTTCACAATTTTGGTAGAGGGCTCAATGCTTATTACAATCATGCCAACAGTTTGACTGCTTGATGTCCAGGAGTAAAGAAGAAGATTTTTAAAGATTGCATTAATTTTGGTGGTTTTCGCTCCACCCCTCAGGCCCCAGGGGGGCAGGGACCATGATATTCACAAATTTTGTTCCCCTTCACACATAAATGCCATATGCTAAAATTGGCTGAAATTGGTTCAGCGGTTTCAGAGAAGAAGCTGAAAATGTTCAAATGTTAACACACGACGGACGACGCACGACGACGGACGAAAACAGATAGCAATAGGTCACCTGAGTGACTCAGGTGACCTAAAAAAGGAAGTGCCCACAGGACCAATGATTTTTTAAGCATATATATTCATTTAGAGTTAATGAGGCAGGTTTAGTTGTCAATATTCTTCTGAAATTGTAAACAACTTCTTGATTTGTTTCATTAATCTATTTTTGTTTGTTTGTTTGTTTTGTTTAACATCCCTCTCGAGAATTTTTCACTCATATGGAGACGCCACCACTTGCTGGTGGAGAGCTGCAAATTTTGACCTATACTCGGCACTCTGGACCATTGAGCAGTCAGGGATCCTTTTCGTGCCAGCACCTACTGCCACATAGGAACTTGGTTAACATGGTCTCATCCCAAAGACCGGTCTCCATGTCCCACAGTGGGATTCGAACCCGCAACTTAAGGATCAGCTCCTTAATCCATGACCCTAGAGCAGACGCTCTTACCACTGCACTTCACGAGCGACTTCATTTTTCTAAATACATGTAGTATTACAATTTAAATACAATATCATACTCTATTAAACGAG